TTTGACTTAAATTGTTTTGGATAGGGGTTAACTCGCCTTAATATAAGTAGGGGCCTACTCCCTTTAACCTAGGATTGGATGAATCACATCAACCTAAATTGGGATCGACTCAACTTGACTTGGGCCTAAGCTTACTCGCTTTGGCTTGGACCTAACTCAAGTTGGTCTTAATTGGGATGTGCCCGACCTGTTCTTGATCGTCTAACTTGGTCTTGAAGGGGCGATACTTGACTTGGTCTTAATGGGTGACACTTAAGCTAACTCTAGCCTAACTTGATTAAATATGGGTTGATTTTGAATCAAATGAACTTTGACCCACCTTGGTCCAACTAAATGTAGACTTGTCCCAACTTGACTCAATTTGGACTCAAGTCAATTTGACTTAACTCGAGTCTTGGTTACCATATATTATCTCACACACTTATACTAATTAGGGATAACAAAAAAATCTATGCCCGCAAATATCTGCAGATAAAATAAGTGACAAGTAGTTGGTACCTACAGATATTTAGTACATGCGAGTTGCGAGTAGTGAGTATTTTAATACCTACTTATAAAAGTGTCAGATGCAAATATTATATTATCCAACTCACGGATACTCGTTACTTGTAAAAGTTAAAAAAAATAATTTAATTTATATTTAACTTAATTTAAAATAAAATTAATTTATATTTTATTAGGTTAAATTTAATTAAAATTAAATTTTAATTTATATTTTATATTAAATTTTATGTATTTTTTGTAATTTATTTAAATTTTATTTTAAAAATATAAAATATATATTTTATAATATTTGCGATTATCTATGAGTTACAGATTAAGTTTTTTTAGCGAGTTAGATTGGGAGTAAATATTATCTTATCCGATTGATCTGTTGTGATTTTTAATACATGAATTACATGTCAGNATTCTTATCTTAATGTTATAGTTGTTAAAGCTTCAAACTTAAATATACTTATAAAAATATAAACTTTAATTAATTTACTTTTATCTAATACTATTGTCTTTATAAAAAAATACTTTTCAAAAAAATTAATATTGATTTTTGTACATGACTAACACAAGTTTAATTTGAGAAAAAAATAAATTTAATATTATTTAAATTAATTTTTTTTCTTTTCTCTTCTCCTTCTTTGTAATAGTAATTTGAGTAATTATTACTATGATCGTAATTATATAATCCATTTTCCCACTTTCCGTAAAATGGTCACACAAGTAAATAAATGTGATGCAATTTATTTTACAAAACAAGTACACACTCCAATAATATCCATTCAACTATGCGGACTTTCTCAGTCAGCCAATCCATAAGAGACACGTGGCCATAAAGTTGGATGGAAGTCGGAAAAACACGTATACCTTCATTTTATAGCTGAAACTAATATACTTTTTAAAATACTGATAAAAAAATACAAAATATTTCTATTAATATATAAAAAAATGCATTTTAATAATTATTCAAACTTTTTAAAATATTTTTCAATTTTACTTTTACCTTTTTTTTGTAATGGAAGCTAAGCAACCCAAGAAAACTTGGACAACTAAAAAAATATCCATGCGTCAGTTCCGAGAGGATATTCCAAATGGGTTGGAATTATACCATTAGTCATTAATTCTTAAAACAGAAGGTCGACTTTCTCTTCTGTTCTCTCTCTCCTTTTCTTCATCCTCACCAAATGTCTACTTTCATATACTATTTCTAGAAAATAATTTTAATTTACTATTTTTTTTTCTTTATACAGGACTATTTCATTTCACATACTAATATACTGTTCGAGCATTTTTTTGGCTTGTAGTCATATTTGATGGAACTGTTCTTATATTTATTATTGGATTCATCTATTCTTTTAACTGAGATGTCTAAGTTTTTAACGTTATGAAACATGATAAGATTCTGTATCGATAAATATGTAACTAAATTGTATTACATTAATGAATATAAATTTTATTTTATTATGTTGATTTTGAAATATTGAATAAAATTTAAAGTTTATTTTTATAATAAAAGTTATAGTTTATCAAATATTTATGTAATGAGATTAATACGTTGTGTTATTCATTATAAAGTTTTTCTTTATTTCATATTCAATATTTTCTATATACGGAATACACAAGAAATTTTACTCAATTTAAAAATATGACCAAAATATAGTATATTATGATATTTCTTGATCAAGATCATACCCAACAATTTTGGTTAAATGTTCCTCGTCAACTTATTACTATTATATGTAAACAACATAATACCTAATCCTCATGAAAATAACATGTTACTATTATATGTAAACAACAAGTACTTAGTTAAAATCCCTAATCCTCGTGAAAATAACATTATATTGAATTTGATGATAGATTGAATTTTTTAAAACTCATTCTAAATTGAATTCAAACCAACAAAATAAACTAGATTTAAAACTGGATTACATTTTAACTATATCATATTGATTTAAAATTTTCAATCTAATTTAAATTTTATTAAATTAATATTAAATCCACTTGTTTAATTATATTAAATCTAATATGAGTTGACATGGTTTTTAATCGATGTTGTATTGGTTGAAAATATACTCAACTTGACTTAGATCAATTTGATCCAAACTATTAATCTCCTGTGAACTTGACATAAACTAGATTAATCTGACTTGGTTTGATTTGGACTCAGGCTAACTAGACTTAAACAAGGCATAAGCCACTTGGTTTGGCCTTTGTCTGGGCAACTCAACTTTTCCTAGGCTTGAGCTAATTTAACTCAACTTGCGCTTTACTTGACATAGTTATGATCAGGAGGGCTTGACATGGTTGATGAACTATACTCAATCCAATCTTGATTGAATTATGAATGACTAAGGTATAAATAAACTCGGCTCAATTTGAGTATGGATTAACTGGGCTTGACTTGTGCTAGATCAACTTCGTTCAACTTGGGTTTGACTTGGATGGATCGACCTTGGCTCTAGTCGACAGACCTCAAATTCAACCTAGACCTATTTGTGTTAGACTTGGGCTCAATTTGACTCAAATTGTTTTGGATAGGGGTTAACTCGCCTTAATATAAGTAGGGGCCTACTCCCTTTAACCTAGGATTGGATGAATCACATCAACCTAAACTGGGATCGACTCAACTTGACTTGGGCCTAAGCTTACTCGCTTTGGCTTGGACCTGACTCAACTTGGTCTTAATTGAGATGTGCTGGACCTGTTCTTAATCGTCTAACTTGGTCTTGAAGGGGCGATACTTGACTTGGTCTTAATGGGTGAGACTTAAGCTAACTCTAGCCTAACTTGATTAAATATGGGTTGATTTTGAATCAAATGAACTTTGACCCACCTTGGTCCAACTAAATGTAGACTTGTCCCAACTTGACTCAATTTGGACTCAAGTCAATTTGACTTAACTCGAGTCTTGGTTGACTTACCATATATTATCTCACACACTTATACTAATTAGGGATAACAAAAAAATCTGTACCCGCAGATATCTGCAGATAAAATAAGTGACAAGTAGTTGGTACCTACAGATATTTAGTACATGCGAGTTGCGAGTAGTGAGTATTTTAATACCTACTTATAAAAGTGTCAGATGCAAATATTATATTATCCAACTCACGGATACTCGTTACTTGTAAAAGTTAAAAAAAATAATTTAATTTATATTTAACTTAATTTAAAATAAAATTAATTTATATTTTATTAGGTTAAATTTAATTAAAATTAAATTTTAATTTATATTTTATTTTTTTATATTAAATTTTATGTATTTTTTGTTACTTATTTAAATTTTATTTTAAAAATATATAAAATATATATTTTAATATTTGTGATTATCTATGAGTTACAGATTAAGTTTTTTTAGCGAGTTAGATTGGGAGTAAATATTATGTTATCCGATTGAATCTGTTGTGATATTTAATACATGAATTACATGTCAGAAATTAAAAGGTTAAAAAGACTTGAAAATTAAAGAAAATAAAAGACTTACGTCCTTACTTTTGTTTAACCGAGTTAAGTTTGTTTTAGGTGAGTTATGGTTAAAAAAAAAATTAACAAAAGGTATGTGAAGTAATTCTAGAAATAACATAAGGAAAAGTTAGAAAATATATGTCTAAAGAAAAGTGATAAATATTAGAAATTAAAAGTAAAAATTATTTTAATTTTTCTATAAAAATGACTATTTTAAATTTAGTAGTCCTCTTTTAACGTGCTACGACTCCTTCATAACCAGAAGCCAAAGTGAATTTTGTTTTCTGTCGTAATTCTTTTTGTCAAGAAACTTATTACTTTTCATTTACTTAATAGTTCTTTCTTCATTACCTTTTTTTTCCTTTACAAAAATCTGTATCTATTTTACTGATGCTTCGGTCGTCTTTCAACAAGAAAATTACTTTTTCGATAGTTTAACGATTTATTTGAGCAATAATATATTTTTAAGTACTGTAACTACAAATTGTGGAAATATTTAAAGGAAAATGATACTTGAACAACCATTTTTGACAACATTTAGACACGCGCACACGTGTCAAAATCTGAGTGGTCCATTTTCATTTAATTTTTCCAACTGGAACATTCAGATTTTGACACGTGTGCGCGTGTCTAAATGTTGTCAAAAATAGTTGTTCAAGTGTCATTTTCCATATTTAAATTGAATGTATATTTTAATGATTACAAAATCCAGTGTATTTTAATGATTACAAACTGCAAAGAGGTCGAGGGCAGAAGATTACAATTACATGAATATAAGTGGAGTTAATCTAACTTTGAGTTTTTGAAAAAGAAAGAAAATCCAAATGCAGAGGTTGGTAGGTAGCAGAGGGCGACAACACATGACAAAAATCACTCCTCTCTCCTTCCTTCCCATACACCGAACAAGCTGCACAGTACACTACAGTACAACGTAGAAGTAGTGTGGTAAGTTTGAAGAGAAAGAAAGGAATAAAACCCCAAATATACTGTTTTTACGGATATTCCAACAATACCCTCGAATATTCCTCCCTCCAACCGTTATATCTATCACCGCTTCGTCCTCTATTTCCTCTCCTCGCTTCCTTTCTCCTTACCAAAATTAAATTCCTCTTTCCAACGTTTTCCTAACAGAAAGCCATGAAATTCGGAAAGAGTCTCAGCAGCCAGATCGAGAAAACCCTGCCGGAGTGGCGCGACAAGTTCCTCTCCTACAAGGAGCTTAAGAAGAAGCTTAAACAATTTGACCCTCCTGCTGCCGCCGATGACCGCCCCGGAAAACGCCACAAGTCTGATTCTGCAGCCACTTCCGCCGACATGTCCAAGGAGGAGTCCGACTTCCGCAACTTGCTCGAGAGTGAACTCGACAAATTCAACACCTTCTTCGTTGAGAAGGAGGAAGAGTACATTATCAGACTCAAGGTACTCTCCTTGATTCCTCTCTTTCCGTCTCCTCTCCTCTTTGGCTGTTGCGTGGAAGATCTGTTTCTTTTTTGGATTTCTTAGTTTTTTTTTCTATTCAATGCTAAATAGCTAAATACTAAACTTCCAGGATTTTTTTTTTTGCTTTTTAGTTTTTGCCTGGAGGAGTTTGACATTATTATTGGCTTTGGAACAAATTTTGATATTTTTCTCGGAATTCTGTTAGCATTTGGTTTTGTCATTATGGAGTTTAATATTAATTAGTGAAGAAACTTGTAGATTCACAAGCTGTGAACATGGATGGATGACGTTGAGATTAAAAGAAATTAGGGGTTTTGATTAGGCAATATGGTGAAGATTCTTATTGCAGTTTGGCAATGCTAATTTGTCTTGTTTTTCTTCTGCACCATATTCTGTATGACCTTTTAATTTTTATTTGGGCTGGTGCACGGTGATTTATATGATAAAACAGTTAGATAACCGGAAGCTCTAATGTTTGTTATCGTTGAAATATACAGGAGTTACAAGATAGGGTGGTCAAAGTTAAGGATTTTAGTGAAGAGATGATGAAAATCCGCAAGGAAATTGTGGATTTCCATGGAGAGATGGTCTTGCTGGAAAACTACAGTGCCCTGAACTATACAGGTACTTTTAACTTTCATATGTATTGTTATATTTGCTTATTTTTCTTTATTGTTATTGAAATCTGGATTCTTTACATTTTAAAACTTTGCCCAAGTTCTTCGTAGCGTTACGGAACTTCTAAGTACTGTGTGAAAAATCAAGTAATAAGAAGGAATAGGATTCATTTCCAATACAAGTTGTCCATTGCTCCGAAAATAGTTATTTTTAGACTTATAGGCACTTATATAAGTACAAAGGATGGGATGGAATATGATTCGTTTCCCATACATATTGTCCATTGCTCCTCAAAATTCCTTGGCCAAGTTGGTAGGACAAAGCATATGTTTTTTCTTGGAATAAATAATCTACTTTGAACATGTTCATGTTTCTGAAATTGGACATCTGGCCCTTTTATTTTGTAACCCTATGATCAGGCTTACTATTCTTCTATCTACTTTGTAAGCAAGCCAATTCAAGAATAGTGTGTCATGTTTTAATTAAATATGATGCTGATTTAATAAATATTCCCGTTGCAAAGTACGCAAAGGTCACATCATCTTAAAGCATAAACGATCAGGGAGTTTCACTCTTTTTTTTCTTGCCACTCGAGAGTGATTCTGATTTGAAAATGCCAAAAAGGCACATGGAATATGAACAATATGTGGTTTTCAGACAGATTTTCTGTGATAATTGTATCTTTACTCTGCATTTTTTAGCTGGAAACCAGTGTCAGCTTTAGATCTAACTAGCTCTAAAGATATGCGCTTCTATGATCAGCCCGCAGTTCGTTATCTTAGCATAAATTGAAGAATGTGATACTTATGATATTTGTTTCTTTAAATCAATTGTTCCATTCGAGGTATCTAATAATTGCCTCAATTTTCATTCCACAGGGTTAGTGAAAATACTGAAGAAGTATGACAAGAGAACTGGTGCTCTCATCCGCTTGCCCTTCATTCAGAAGGTCTTGCAACAACCTTTCTTTACCACTGACTTGCTCTACAAGCTTGTAAAGGAGTGTGAAACAATGTTGGACCGTCTTTTCCCTGAGAATGATCCTCCTCCAGTTTCTGGTGAGACAACGCCCCAAGCTGAAGGTTGTGATCCTTCAACTTCAACCACTACCAAGAGTGATGGTGGTTTGCTGATTCCCAAGGAATTAGCTGAGATCGAGTACATGGAGAGCCTATATATGAAGAGTACAGTATCAGCTTTGCATGTTTTGCAGGAAATTAGAAAGGGAAGCTCAACAGTAAGCATGTTTTCATTGCCACCGTTGAAGATAAGTGGTTCAGAAGAAACATGGAAGAAAATTCCGGTTCTTGAACAAGCAGCCAAGTAACCTGCTGGGTTACGTTAACAAACTAGTGGGATGACTATTTTCTGATCACTTTTTTTTTTCCTTTTAAATCGGATGCCTCTGTTATGCTGCCTTAGAACTAACACGGATGTAAGATGCTAAATGTAAAGATGGAATTAATTTTATAGAATTATAGGTTCCATATAATAAAACCTCTGGAATTTAAAGAAGTTATGTTTTGACATTTTGCTGACATTCGTATTCTGTAGTAATGTAATTATACATTCCGTATCTGGTTTATATAAGGATGCATTTGGAGATCAGATTTACTAAAACCCTGTATTCACCTCTATTTTTTCTACTTGGCAATAGTAGATGACGCTCTAAGCTGCAATCAGAAATTGGCGTTATAGAAAAACTTAATGGTGCTAATGGTATAGGATTAATGGTAATTTCATGCAATCGTGAATCATTGAGCGTGTTTTAAATTTACGTCGAAAATTGAAAAAGACAAAAAAGCAAATTAAGTTACTTCGACGTCTACTGTGCTAAATGCGAATTCACGTAGAGGTGAATATCTACGTTAAAAAACGTGTAGACGTTTAGAATCTCCCGTTTACACACTCAAACAGAACAACTCTCTAGTCTCTATTCAGAATCCATGAATAGAACATCTCTTTGATAACGATAGTCTAGTCTGGTTCTTAAAACACGGATTTTTTTCATTAGTGGTTCGGGGATATGATAGTTTAATGGTTTATTTGACAGTACAAAATACTTAATGGGATACACGGTATAACCGTCGTGTTTGTGTTATGGGGTTCAGCTGTAGGAGAAGGGTGTATGGTATAACTTCAATGAGAAGAAACTATAAACATAAAGACTTAAAAGAAAGTTATATAAAGGGTCAAAATCGTGTAATGAAACATCCTTTTTTTTAAAGCCGTGATTTAAAAATAAAATTACATTAAGATAAAAATTTTCCTCCAAAACTACTGTCTCATAAAGAAAAATTAAAGATAAACCCACTACATAATCAAACATTTCTTTATTGGACAAAAGCATCAAACAAACCTATATATTTGCTGCTTGAACAGAAATTAACATGGGAAATTACTAGTTCAGCTTCTGTCTTGCTACCTTAACAGCACCATAAAATAAGCCTAACAAGACAACCGCACGTAACAGAAGACAAACAAATAAACTGAAAAGCATATGATCCATGAACACTGCGACATTTCTTAACAGAGAAAATTCAAGTAGAATTGGAAGCGGGACAAGGAGGAATTGCTATGTCGGTGACCCCTTCTAACATCAATACGACGCTCTTCATTGTTGGGCGAAGAAAAGGTTCATCTTGGATACACCAAAGTGCCACTTTAACCATATTTTCCACGGCAGTTTTGTCATCCACCACTTCCCAAGGAAAAAGCTTATTGAGTTTTCCTGCAACAAAACAGTTATAAGCCCAGGAGCAGAGACTAACCGCCTCAGGTTCAGGGACACGAACTTCGATGTTTCTTCTGCAACATAAAATTTCCAACAGCATTATTCCGTAGCTATAAACATCAGTCTTGACAGATATTGGGACATTCTTGTTCCATTCAGGGGCCAAGTACCCTCTTGTTCCTCTGGCCCCTGTCATGGTTCTGGTTTGATCGGGCATGAGAAGTTTTGCAAGCCCAAAATCGGATATTTTGGCAGTCCAGAACTCATCCACCAAGATGTTTTGAGGCTTTATGTCACAATGAATGATTGGTGCCTCACACTCTTCATGGAGATACATTATCCCTCTAGCAATCTCCACCGCTATTCTTACTCTCTCATCCCACTCTGGACGTCTCTGACTTTCACCCACGAAGATAAGGTTTCCAAGGGAGCCATTGGACATGTATTCATACACCAGAAGCCTTTTAGAACCCTCTGCACAGAACCCCAACAAACGAACTAGATTCCTGTGACGGGTTTTTCCAATGGCTCTCATTTCTGCTTGGAATTCCTTTTCTCCTTCTTCCACTAACTTCTCCAGTCTCTTCACTGCAATCAACCTCTTACCTTTGTCCAACGCCCCCCTGTAAACTGCTCCAAAAGACCCTTTTCCCAGTTCTATCTTGAAATTATTTGTTGCTCTTTTGAGTTCGCTGTATGAAAACCTTCTCAAAGTCACCTCTTCATTCAGACCCAAGTTCCCAGTTTCCATCAATCTTTTATACTTCAAAATCCGAATCTTGTACGTGTAGTGGCTGGATATGACAATGGTTGAACATAAAAGCAGCGAAAATACGGATGTAATGATAATAATATGCACCGTTGCTTTATTACTTGTTGCCTTGATTGGTGGTGGTTCAGGAACAGGCACAGGATAATCGTTTTCCGTCCGATTGCTGAGGCTGTCTCCCACTTTCCACAGTAACACTGAGGTTCTGTAATCGCTTAATTGCCGTCTGAGATATCTCAAAGGCAGCCTTTGTTTCATGCAGCTTACACCGTCGTAAAATGCAGCCTCACAATTGCAATCAGCCAAGCAAGCAGCGGAGCATTCTTCTTGTGACATTTCAGCCTTTAAATAAGGAAAATCCACCCACACAATATTCTCCTCCGACTTCATCTCATACGAGGTTGCGCTGTCTTTCTTCCCCCAACAATCTTCTTTCAGAAAGCTCCTTTTGCAGCCCAGAGTGGAGTCGTTTGGATGTATGGAGATAAAACCCGAAAGACAAGAGCATAATGGTTGAGCGTCATCTAATGTGCAGTAGCTGTTGAATCCACAAAAACCTTTTACTGAACACATGCTTTTAACATCCGGCCATTTTGCCAAATTTTGGGTACTGCCATTCTTAAAATGCGCATACAGATGAAATATCCCATCATAATTCAGGGTTGCACGATAGATGATCCGGTTTCCATCGTTAGCTAAAGATGAATTATTGATTACACTTAGAATCACCTTAGTCCTCCCATGACTGCTTTCATTCAGAATCCGCAGAGTACCATTTTCGACGAGAGGGTACTGATATTGCTCACGGAGATTCAAAGCAAAACTAGTATCAGAGGCCCAGTAAGCATCATTTCCTGTGTCACTTGTGTCCACTGGATACAAAACAAGATTTCCGTCATCCTGCATCTTGAGACGAAACCGTCCACTGGAATGGTTGTTCTGTGATGAATTGCACACCAGTTGATGTCCGTTTGGAAGAGATTGACCACCTAACAAAGTATCTGTTGGGTAATCGAAACTCTGCCATATGATGTCGTTTTTACTGTTGTGGAGCACAAAGTTTCCAGAATCGAGCACGGAGGCAGAGGCAGCTTTTGCACTGAAATTAGCTGCAATAACCTTCTCTTCACGTTGGTTGTCTGTTAGTACGAGTTTACCGTCCATGTTTAGTTGTAGCTTTGCACCTGAGGTTACCGGAGGATCGTTCCGTTGTGCAGTCCATACCACTGTCTTGTTCTCCCCGCTAACCAGCCAAATTGCAACGACAAAGTCACCACCTTGTTCTAGTGGATAAAAACCAAATGCAAATTGAGCAGAAGGAGAAAGCCAGAAAGAAGTAGTAGTACTCTGTGCAGTAAGTGTTGCTCCGAGTGGTATCTGATACGTTTCAACTCTTGTCCCCACAGACATGAGCAACAGGCAAGTTATTATCACGGCAATGATGTCCATTAGAATTTGATGATTTCAGTCTGAGAAACCAGAAGCAATATCGCTATTTTCTATTTCACTGCATTTGCCTGGTTCAAATTTAAGCAAATTGGTCTCCCAAGACTTGCTTTTCTCGGTCATTTTATCAAATCAATGTCGGCCTGTCCCTACCAAAAACAAATAACATCTTAAGAGAATGAACACTCCAGGACTTCTTATGGTCAAGTCTTTCGGTGACCAAGTAAACAAAAGAACAAAATACTGAAGAAAAAAAAAATTCTCTATTTCCTAATAAGTTATGACGATAATGGTCAAGACCATGTGAGAGACGAGGTGAATTTGTGCCATAGTTTTTCTATCGTATATAAAATTGTACGAGTGTTAATTATAATCTCTCTCAATTAACTTTTAATTGACTACGTAATTTTGATTACTTGAAAAAAAAAATTAATTTTTGTAGAGATATTTTTGTTTTACCAACCAAAGCTTGAAATTTTGCCGCTTTCGAAACTTCATAGTTTAAATATATTTATTTATATAACTTTTGATTCTTACAAGTTTAAAAGTTAACTCGCTAAAACTAAGGTGTGATGTTATAATTCATTTATAAACTTCTATTCATGATTGCATTTAAATAAATATAGTGATGAAGTCTCTCATAAAACCTATTCAGACCCACTACGAAAATGAAGGTCTTTTATTTCATGAACTCTGAAGGTGGCAACTGGCGAGTAGAGAAGCGGGTTTTGATATAATTGAACCACAAAGAAGAACTCAAGATGAAAATGAAACTACAGTAATACAGTAATACAAGATGTTCCTAGAAATATTTAATGAAGAGGGTGGGCTGGAGAGGGAGGAATTGGAATATCTTTCAATCCTTCCAACATCAAGATTACATTCTTTATCAAGGGACGAACAGAAGGAGTGTCTTGCACACACCACAACCCCACCTTCACCATTCTTTCCATTATCTTCCACTCAACACTTTCATCCTCCTTAACAAGCCTGTTTAATTGCCCTTCTGCAAAACATTTATATACCCAGCTTGAAAGAACTATCTCCTCTTCTGAGGAAACATTCATTTCTATGCTGCGTCTTCGGCACACGATCTCCAGAAGCACCATCCCAAAACTGTAAATGTCAAATTTTACCGATACCGGTGCTTCCTTCTGCCATTCAGGTGCCAAGTACTTGCTTGTCCCATCATCCTCTTTTCTCATTCTTGAATGCTCAGACTTCTGTAGTCTTGCAAATCCAAAATCAGAGATCTTTGCAGTCCACGCTTCATCCATTAGTATATTTCGAGGATTTATATTGCAATGGATGATGCGGACCTCACACTCGTCGTGTAGGTAAAGGATTCCTCTAGCAACATCCAATGCGATTTTTAGTCTGTCTCTCCAGGATATTTGTTTCTCATCATTGAAGAGAAGACTTCCCAGAGACCCGTTTCTTACGTATTCGTAAACAAGGAGACTCCTAGCTCCATCGATGCAAAAACCAATGAGCTTAACCAAATTCCTGTGATGTGTTCGAGAAATAGAAGTAATCTCATTCCGGAATTCCCTCTCCCAGTCACTGGCAGCAACTCTCTCCAATCTCTTGACAGCGATACTTTGGCTGTCGTCACCTGTTTCGCCTCTGTAAACCGCTCCAAATGATCCTCTCCCTATCTCTTCCGTGAAGCTTCCAGTGGATTTGACAAGTTCATCGAAAGAAAACGAACGCAGAGAACATTCTCCAGTAAATCCCAGGTTCTCACTTGCAGACAACGTTGTATATTTATGCACCTTCCGCTTGTAAGTGAAGAAAATGGACACGGAAAATATCAAAGATAAGAATGAAATGGAACCCAAAGTAAAGGCCAGAACCATTATCAGCCTGTTCTTGTTATCCGTAACCACCTTGGATTTAGGCTTCGGAAAGAAGTTGCTTGGAATTGGATTTTGGACGATTCCTGAAGCATTCTTGAAGAGTGCAACGACGGATATGTTCTGAAGCCATCTGCCATATGTTAGCGGGAGTCCGTATTTTTCGCAGTTGCCATTCGAATATAACACTGCCACGCAATCGCAATCATCCAGCAAAGACTTTTCGCACTCTTTCTCCTTCATCGGTACGACAGAATATGGAGTTTCTAACCAAGACACATGTTCCAACTGAGTAATATTATACAAAATCATTTGGTTTCGGGCTTCACTGCTTCGGCAACCATCTAGTGCATAGGCCAGTATGCAGTCCCGAGACGCGTTACCACTGCTGTTGGAGGGGACGAAACCAGGCAAACACTCACACACCGCATCGCCTGTTGCGTTTGAGCAATAACTGTTAAACCCACAAAACCCCTTGATTTGACATTTCCCAATCGAGGTATTCCACAGTACTCGGACATTTGTAGAGCCACTGCTGTCCTCAAATTGGTGCTCATACAGTATAAAGTTCCCGTCTGCAACAAGTGTTGCTCGGTAGATTGAACTTGTGTTGTGTGATTTGTTTCCAGGGCTAAAATTTTCGTTCAAACACGAAATCCCAATGCAAAGAGAGCCTGTGGCATCAAGCCCGAGATCTGGGTTCACAAAAGTGTTTGAAGCCCAGTAAGCATCAGAGCCAGATGCTGCGCTGTTCTTTGGATAAGCAACGAGGTTTCCATCAAATTGCATGACCATAAAGAAAGCTCCACTCGAGTAGTCTTTTTCGGACACACTGGAAACCAGTCGGTCGCCTGCAGTTAAATTCTGACCTCCTAGTAAGGTGTCAGTTGGATGATCAAAGCTTTGCCAAACAATAGTGCTGTCATTGCTATAGAGCACAAAGTTGCCAGAATCAAGCATAGATGCTGAAGTTGTATTAACAGTTGAAATGAGAGCAAGACTTTCTCTCCCACTTGGGAAAAGCCGCAGACCGGTGGTGGTGATGTTCAACGTTGAATTTGAGGGGAGTGGGCGGCTGTCACGGTTAGAAGTCCACACAACAGTTTTTTGGGGTGGACTATCACCACCAAGCAGCCATATACCCACAGCAAAGCCATTACCTTGAGGGTAAAAGCCAAAAGCAAAGTGGCCAGAAGGTGATACCCATGAACTATTATTCCCAAATTCAGTAGCACAGAGCGTAGACCCTGGCTTTATGATGCTCTCACCTTTTTTTGCAAATAACATGCATAGCAGTGAGAATACAACGGTTACGAAGNTGAAAAAGACAAAGAAGCAAATTAAGTTACTTCGACGTCTACTGTGCTAAATGCGAATTCACGTAGAGGTGAATATCTACGTTAAAAAACGTGTAGACGTTTAGAATCTCCCGTTTACACACTCAAACAGAACAACTCTCTAGTCTCTATTCAGAATCCATGAATAGAACATCTCTTTGATAACGATAGTCTAGTCTGGTTCTTAAAACACGGATTTTTTTCATTAGTGGTTCGGGGATATGATAGTTTAATGGTTTATTTGACAGTACAAAATACTTAATGGGATACACGGTATAACCGTCGTGTTTGTGTTATGGGGTTCAGCTGTAGGAGAAGGGTGTATGGTATAACTTCAATGAGAAGAAACTATAAACATAAAGACTTAAAAGAAAGTTATATAAAGGGTCAAAATCGTGTAATGAAACATCCTTTTTTTTAAAGCCGTGATTTAAAAATAAAATTACATTAAGATAAAAATTTTCCTCCAAAACTACTGTCTCATAAAGAAAAATTAAAGATAAACCCACTACATAATCAAACATTTCTTTATTGGACAAAAGCATCAAACAAACCTATATATTTGCTGCTTGAACAGAAATTAACATGGGAAATTACTAGTTCAGCTTCTGTCTTGCTACCTTAACAGCACCATAAAATAAGCCTAACAAGACAACCGCACGTAACAGAAGACAAACAAATAAACTGAAAAGCATATGATCCATGAACACTGCGACATTTCTTAACAGAGAAAATTCAAGTAGAATTGGAAGCGGGACAAGGAGGAATTGCTATGTCGGTGACCCCTTCTAACATCAATACGACGCTCTTCATTGTTGGGCGAAGAAAAGGTTCATCTTGGATACACCAAAGTGCCACTTTAACCATATTTTCCACGGCAGTTTTGTCATCCACCACTTCCCAAGGAAAAAGCTTATTGAGTTTTCCTGCAACAAAACAGTTATAAGCCCAGGAGCAGAGACTAACCGCCTCAGGTTCAGGGACACGAACTTCGATGTTTCTTCTGCAACATAAAATTTCCAACAGCATTATTCCGTAGCTATAAACATCAGTCTTGACAGATATTGGGACATTCTTGTTCCATTCAGGGGCCAAGTACCCTCTTGTTCCTCTGGCCCCTGTCATGGTTCTGGTTTGATCGGGCATGAGAAGTTTTGCAAGCCCAAAATCGGATATTTTGGCAGTCCAGAACTCATCCACCAAGATGTTTTGAGGCTTTATGTCACAATGAATGATTGGTGCCTCACACTCTTCATGGAGATACATTATCCCTCTAGCAATCTCCACCGCTATTCTTACTCTCTCATCCCACTCTGGACGTCTCTGACTTTCACCCACGAAGATAAGGTTTCCAAGGGAGCCATTGGACATGTATTCATACACCAGAAGCCTTTTAGAACCCTCTGCACAGAACCCCAACAAACGAACTAGATTCCTGTGACGGGTTTTTCCAATGGCTCTCATTTCTGCTTGGAATTCCTTTTCTCCTTCTTCCACTAACTTCTCCAGTCTCTTCACTGCAATCAACCTCTTACCTTTGTCCAACGCCCCCCTGTAAACTGCTCCAAAAGACCCTTTTCCCAGTTCTATCTTGAAATTATTTGTTGCTCTTTTGAGTTCGCTGTATGAAAACCTTCTCAAAGTCACCTCTTCATTCAGACCCAAGTTCCCAGTTTCCATCAATCTTTTATACTTCAAAATCCGAATCTTGTACGTGTAGTGGCTGGATATGACAATGGTTGAACATAAAAGCAGCGAAAATACGGATGTAATGATAATAATATGCACCGTTGCTTTATTACTTGTTGCCTTGATTGGTGGTGGTTCAGGAACAGGCACAGGATAATCGTTTTCCGTCCGATTGCTGAGGCTGTCTCCCACTTTCCACAGTAACACTGAGGTTCTGTAATCGCTTAATTGCCGTCTGAGATATCTCAAAGGCAGCCTTTGTTTCATGCAGCTTACACCGTCGTAAAATGCAGCCTCACAATTGCAATCAGCCAAGCAAGCAGCGGAGCATTCTTCTTGTGACATTTCAGCCTTTAAATAAGGAAAATCCACCCACACAATATTCTCCTCCGACTTCATCTCATACGAGGTTGCGCTGTCTTTCTTCCCCCAACAATCTTCTTTCAGAAAGCTCCTTTTGCAGCCCAGAGTGGAGTCGTTTGGATGTATGGAGATAAAACCCGAAAGACAAGAGCATAATGGTTGAGCGTCATCTAATGTGCAGTAGCTGTTGAATCCACAAAAACCTTTTACTGAACACATGCTTTTAACATCCGGCCATTTTGCCAAATTTTGGGTACTGCCATTCTTAAAATGCGCATACAGATGAAATATCCCATCATAATTCAGGGTTGCACGATAGATGATCCGGTTTCCATCGTTAGCTAAAGATGAATTATTGATTACACTTAGAATCACCTTAGTCCTCCCATGACTGCTTTCATTCAGAATCCGCAGAGTACCATTTTCGACGAGAGGGTACTGATATTGCTCACGGAGATTCAAAGCAAAACTAGTATCAGAGGCCCAGTAAGCATCATTTCCTGTGTCACTTGTGTCCACTGGATACAAAACAAGATTTCCGTCATCCTGCATCTTGAGACGAAACCGTCCACTGGAATGGTTGTTCTGTGATGAATTGCACACCAGTTGATGTCCGTTTGGAAGAGATTGACCACCTAACAAAGTATCTGTTGGGTAATCGAAACTCTGCCATATGATGTCGTTTTTACTGTTGTGGAGCACAAAGTTTCCAGAATCGAGCACGGAGGCAGAGGCAGCTTTTGCACTGAAATTAGCTGCAATAACCTTCTCTTCACGTTGGTTGTCTGTTAGTACGAGTTTACCGTCCATGTTTAGTTGTAGCTTTGCACCTGAGGTTACCGGAGGATCGTTCCGTTGTGCAGTCCATACCACTGTCTTGTTCTCCCCGCTAACCAGCCAAATTGCAACGACAAAGTCACCACCTTGTTCTAGTGGATAAAAACCAAATGCAAATTGAGCAGAAGGAGAAAGCCAGAAAGAAGTAGTAGTACTCTGTGCAGAAAGTGTTGCTCCGAGTGGTATCTGATACGTTTCAACTCTTGTCCCCACAGACATGAGCAACAGGCAAGTTATTATCACGGCAATGATGTCCATTAGAATTTGATGATTTCAGTCTGAGAAACCAGAAGCAATATCGCTATTTTCTATTTCACTGCATTTGCCTGGTTCAAATTTAAGCAAATTGGTCTCCCAAGACTTGCTTTTCTCGGTCATTTTATCAAATCAATGTCGGCCTGTCCCTACCAAAAACAAATAACATCTTAAGAGAATGAACACTCCAGGACTTCTTATGGTCAAGTCTTTCGGTGACCAAGTAAACAAAAGAACAAAATACTGAAGAAAAAAAAAATTCTCTATTTCCTAATAAGTTATGACGATAATGGTCAAGACCATGTGAGAGACGAGGTGAATTTGTGCCATAGTTTTTCTATCGTATATAAAATTGTACGAGTGTTAATTATAATCTCTCTCAATTAACTTTTAATTGACTACGTAATTTTGATTACTTGAAAAAAAAAATTAATTTTTGTAGAGATATTTTTGTTTTACCAACCAAAGCTTGAAATTTTGCCGCTTTCGAAACTTCATAGTTTAAATATATTTATTTATATAACTTTTGATTCTTACAAGTTTAAAAGTTAACTCGCTAAAACTAAGGTGTGATGTTATAATTCATTTATAAACTTCTATTCATGATTGCATTTAAATAAATATAGTGATGAAGTCTCTCATAAAACCTATTCAGACCCACTACGAAAATGAAGGTCTTTTATTTCATGAACTCTGAAGGTGGCAACTGGCGAGTAGAGAAGCGGGTTTTGATATAATTGAACCACAAAGAAGAACTCAAGATGAAAATGAAACTACAGTAATACAGTAATACAAGATGTTCCTAGAAATATTTAATGAAGAGGGTGGGCTGGAGAGGGAGGAATTGGAATATCTTTCAATCCTTCCAACATCAAGATTACATTCTTTATCAAGGGACGAACAGAAGGAGTGTCTTGCACACACCACAACCCCACCTTCACCATTCTTTCCATTATCTTCCACTCAACACTTTCATCCTCCTTAACAAGCCTGTTTAATTGCCCTTCTGCAAAACATTTATATACCCAGCTTGAAAGAACTATCTCCTCTTCTGAGGAAACATTCATTTCTATGCTGCGTCTTCGGCACACGATCTCCAGAAGCACCATCCCAAAACTGTAAATGTCAAATTTTACCGATACCGGTGCTTCCTTCTGCCATTCAGGTGCCAAGTACTTGCTTGTCCCATCATCCTCTTTTCTCATTCTTGAATGCTCAGACTTCTGTAGTCTTGCAAATCCAAAATCAGAGATCTTTGCAGTCCACGCTTCATCCATTAGTATATTTCGAGGATTTATATTGCAATGGATGATGCGGACCTCACACTCGTCGTGTAGGTAAAGGATTCCTCTAGCAACATCCAATGCGATTTTTAGTCTGTCTCTCCAGGATATTTGTTTCTCATCATTGAAGAGAAGACTTCCCAGAGACCCGTTTCTTACGTATTCGTAAACAAGGAGACTCCTAGCTCCATCGATGCAAAAACCAATGAGCTTAACCAAATTCCTGTGATGTGTTCGAGAAATAGAAGTAATCTCATTCCGGAATTCCCTCTCCCAGTCACTGGCAGCAACTCTCTCCAATCTCTTGACAGCGATACTTTGGCTGTCGTCACCTGTTTCGCCTCTGTAAACCGCTCCAAATGATCCTCTCCCTATCTCTTCCGTGAAGCTTCCAGTGGATTTGACAAGTTCATCGAAAGAAAACGAACGCAGAGAACATTCTCCAGTAAATCCCAGGTTCTCACTTGCAGACAACGTTGTATATTTATGCACCTTCCGCTTGTAAGTGAAGAAAATGGACACGGAAAATATCAAAGATAAGAATGAAATGGAACCCAAAGTAAAGGCCAGAACCATTATCAGCCTGTTCTTGTTATCCGTAACCACCTTGGATTTAGGCTTCGGAAAGAAGTTGCTTGGAATTGGATTTTGGACGATTCCTGAAGCATTCTTGAAGAGTGCAACGACGGATATGTTCTGAAGCCATCTGCCATATGTTAGCGGGAGTCCGTATTTTTCGCAGTTGCCATTCGAATATAACACTGCCACGCAATCGCAATCATCCAGCAAAGACTTTTCGCACTCTTTCTCCTTCATCGGTACGACAGAATATGGAGTTTCTAACCAAGACACATGTTCCAACTGAGTAATATTATACAAAATCATTTGGTTTCGGGCTTCACTGCTTCGGCAACCATCTAGTGCATAGGCCAGTATGCAGTCCCGAGACGCGTTACCACTGCTGTTGGAGGGGACGAAACCAGGCAAACACTCACACACCGCATCGCCTGTTGCGTTTGAGCAATAACTGTTAAACCCACAAAACCCCTTGATTTGACATTTCCCAATCGAGGTATTCCACAGTACTCGGACATTTGTAGAGCCACTGCTGTCCTCAAATTGGTGCTCATACAGTATAAAGTTCCCGTCTGCAACAAGTGTTGCTCGGTAGATTGAACTTGTGTTGTGTGATTTGTTTCCAGGGCTAAAATTTTCGTTCAAACACGAAATCCCAATGCAAAGAGAGCCTGTGGCATCAAGCCCGAGATCTGGGTTCACAAAAGTGTTTGAAGCCCAGTAAGCATCAGAGCCAGATGCTACGCTGTTCTTTGGATAAGCAACGAGGTTTCCATCAAATTGCATGACCATAAAGAAAGCTCCACTCGAGTAGTCTTTTTCGGACACACTGGAAACCAGTCGGTCGCCTGCAGTTAAATTCTGACCTCCTAGTAAGGTGTCAGTTGGATGATCAAAGCTTTGCCAAACAATAGTGCTGTCATTGCTATAGAGCACAAAGTTGCCAGAATCAAGCATAGATGCTGAAGTTGTATTAACAGTTGAAATGAGAGCAAGACTTTCTCTCACACTTGGGAAAAGCCGCAGACCGGTGGTGGTGATGTTCAACGTTGAATTTGAGGGGAGTGGGCGGCTGTCACGGTTAGAAGTCCACACAACAGTTTTTTGGGGTGGACTATCACCACCAAGCAGCCATATACCCACAGCAAAGCCATTACCTTGAGGGTAAAAGCCAAAAGCAAAGTGGCCAGAAGGTGATACCCATGAACTATTATTCCCAAATTCAGTAGCACAGAGCGTAGACCCTGGCTTTATGATGCTCTCACCTTTTTTTGCAAATAACATGCATAGCAGTGAGAATACAACGGTTACGAAGGCCATAGGATTCGGAAACTCAAACAAAACTCTTCTAGCTTATCAAACTGAAACAAAGCATTATTACAGGGATTACTTAACAATTCTCCGTTGATTTCAGAAGTTGACCGACTTTTATTACGGTCCCCCACCAAAGACGTTCGGAAGCAATGAAATTCATCTTTCCAGAGGAAGTTGTCCACTTGCTTCCAATGTGGAGAAGAAATAAAGTTGATGGAAATTGACGGATTTTAGCCGGTTCTGAGAGTGGAATGTCTGAAGTAGTTAACACGTTCAAATTCATTTTTCCACACAATCATGGTTGGGAGAGTAACACACACTGCAATAAAGTAAATTAAGGTTTTCAAATTTTTATCTCATTTGTTGATTTCACATCAAACAATCAAACACATACTCTCACTAAATATTTACATTTGAAGTAATATAATAAGGACAAAGTACTTTCACACCATAATATTTTTTACACCCATTTTATATTATTTTTCACTGTCCTTTACTTTTTCTTTATGATTTATAATTGTGATTATTTTTAAAGAGAACAAAATAAACTATGTTAAATGCTTTTAGGACATGTATTGATAGGTGATTTCATCCTTGAGATTATTCTAATTTTATTAGTATATATCAAAATCATATAGAAGAAGAAATCTAGTCAGTAAGAATCGATGTATTTAAATTTTGGTGTCAAAAAGAATTGTATCTTACACAATAAAAATTTACCTAAGAGAATCTTAATTCTTTATATATAACTTAATGTGAGCAGAGATAATATAATATATGCAAATTATTTTGGTCTATTTAATAGACTAGACTTTTAAAAATATAGTCAATGTATTAATGAAAAATGTTTAAATTAAAGTATATTATGTGATTGATGGATGTGATGTGAAGAAATAAAGTTTGAAATAATAAATGTATTTTTTTTCCTTTTAAAAATAAGCCAGCTTAGTTGTTTTATTCGGTTGTCATTTTCATACGTTATAATGGTGTGCTACATGAGACAGAGAATATTGTAAATGAGAGGACTCAACCGTGAGAGACTCAAAGCTAATGAGAGTGTGTAAATAATTATATACATACATTTAATTCCTCATATTAAGATGAAACACTATATTTGAAAAATTTATATGAAGAGCACAGTAAACATATTAATTGTATACATAATTTTCTTACTGTGTGAAATGAGATATTAAGTGAAAGGTTAAATATAATGCACAATTTTTTTTTATACTTTACATAATCAATGCTTTATTAAAAAAATAAAGTGAATAATATTTCATTAATTACCTTATAGCTAATCTCTTTGACTACGTAGCTAAAAATATTCTACATTGATATTACCCTCTCTTGAAGCATGTTCAATAAAAATTGGTTACAATATTTAATTATAAGTAAAAATATTATTTTTAGATCACAGATAACTATCAATATTTTTAAACATTTTTAATATATGTAAGATTCGTATTAAAATTATATTTTAATTCATAAACAATATTTGTAAATGTGTCTTACTCAAGTGGCTAGAAATAAAATTGGTTTGTTTGTACAATTTGAGTATATTTAAGAGTTTGATTTTATTTTTCTTTCCTTTGATTATTATCATAAAAAACATTTATAAGTAGAAGGTAACATGATTCTTCAACCTTCATGTCCTTCCATTTTTTTTTTTCAATCTTTCTCTCTCTTTTGTTTTTGCTTGTCCTGGCTTGTTCCTTTAGTTCTTTTTAAGTTATATGGTTGGAAGACATGAAAAGTTTATAGATCTTTCTTCTTTCTGTAAAACACCTTCCCATTATGCAATTTAAACCATGAAATTCATCTTCAGTTCTGTTCTGCACATAGTATGAACTTAAGAAAACTCAAACTGGGAATGCATCTTTTACTTTCTTGACAAATGGGCCAAAACCTTATCAAAACTAAGAAAGAGTCAAACTCTTACATAACTGACACCAAGTATGTAATATAAAAGTGTTTCATCCTACATCTTCAATATCTTATTTTACATTTTTAAAAATTTTATTTTTAATCTTCTAACATTTGCACCTTCAATTCTTCTAAAAATTTTATTTTTCAATAAATATATTTTTATTTTCTTCTCTCTTGTTAAAAACACTTTAATAAATATTATTTTATTTTTTTCTCTTTCTTATTAAAATCATTCTACACCACCTTAATAATAATATAATTTAATTTAAAGTTTAAATATTATTTAATATAATTTTGTATTTTAATAATTATTAAAATATAATTTATATTATAATAATAGTTATATTAAAAAAATAAAAATAATAATAAAAATAAAAAATAAAAAAATAAAATAATAATATAAAATCTGATTCGATATATTAATATATATTAAAGTATATTAAAATATTAAAATAAATTAAACAA